TTAGGGAGAAATATGAGAGTAGATTATTAAACCAGGAGCGAGGAGAAGGGAGAGAAAAAGTGGAGAGGTGTGCGTGGGGTGAGGGGGTTGAAATCTGTTCACGGTGTTTTAAATATTAAACCTATTTCAAGTTTAATGAAGTGCAAATACTATGGGGAGAGTCTTAACTGGAATACAGAGAGGAAGGGGGCGAAAGGGGGATCCGATTCATTATTTCAAGTGTTCACCTTTAGACTGCCGAGACTTGGGGAGTGTAGCGCAGGGAGAAAAAGAAAAAAGGAGAGAAAGTTTATGCAAAAGTGCAAACTAGAGGGCAGTTTGGAGCGCACCTGTCTGCAAGTCCCAGGTGGGACCAGGAGGCTCTGGAGCTCCAGAGGAAGAAGGTCTGAACGCAAATAAGCCAAAACATGCGGTGCTAATTTCAGCACTCTGAAGCAAAGAGGAATAAACACGACAGGGTTCTGTGTCAAAATGATTTCATTTTCCTGCTATGTATCTGTTGGTATATGTGAGAATGCGTGCATTAGTGGTTGACGAGGGGAAATCTATGGCCACAGAGCACAGAGGAAGAGAGTCAGATAAAGATGTTGGATTTCAAAAAAGATTTTCGATGTAATCAATGTGCAACAGCTAGAGGGAAATGGAAAGAACAGCCCACGTGTGATTGAACTGTTCATGTCTACATAATCAGATGCTCTAAGCTGTGTGTGTGTGTGTGTGTGTGTGTGTACACATCACACCGGCCATGTACTGGATTGCCAAAATCCCCCAAGCTGCCACAAAAGGTCACTGTGTGTGTGTGTGTGTGTGTGTTTAATACTAGCAAGTAAAACAAACAAAAAAAGTATTTCCAGTGCTGTTATTATGTGGAATAAAGATCAAGTTAGTGTTTGCCCCATGTAGAAAGGAAGTAGGAAAGAAATCAATTGTTAGCCCATGTTTTCACCAGCTCAGGCTTCTTCTCAGCCTGAGAGTGAAGGTGTCAGAGGGAAAGAATTCTGCATCCAAAACAACTGCTACTTTAATAAAACAACACCAACAGCATCAAATGTAAAGAAAATACAACTTCAATGATGCAGCCTCTTAGGTGAAAAAGAAAAACTTAATCATAACTTTCATGTGCCTTAATATATTGTGCTTTAGAAAAGATGTCTGGAGTCTGAAAGGAAGTGAATAAGTGTAAAGACCACAAGACAGTGGTAGTAAAGACAGGCATATCTTAGCAAGGATGCAATACAGCATATGAGATGTTAATTATTCTGTGGTGGTTATGGTATTTCATCAAAATGTAACCAATTGCTAACTGATTTCTTCATCAGTTAGCCTAATGATTACATTTTAATCCCCTGATTTATTGTTTAGTCTATAAAATATCTGAAAATACTGAAAAATACTCATCTCAGTTTACTAATGCTTGTGTTGCACAGTCAAAATCCCAACAAAAAAACATATTCCATTTCAATTTAAACAAAATAAAAGGAAGTAACCTCATATTTGATAAGCTGAAACCAGCAGAGGTTTGACAATTTTGCTTGATAAGTGACTGATAAATCATCAACTGTCAAAACTGTTGACAGTTTAACTTTCTTGCTAATCGACCAAATTGAGAATCAACTTTCAGCACTACATGGATTACAAAAATAAAATGTGACACTATGCATCAAAGATGAATCTACCCAAGCTTAACTGCAATTTTTAAACCACTCTCTCTTTGATCGGCAGGTGCTTTTAATCCAGGTCTGGAAGAAGCAGCGGGGCCAAACTAAAAATAACTTCAGATAATTATTTAAAGGTGTACAACATAAGCAGTCAGGCGAAACAGAGACTATTTTAAACTCTCCTCCTCAAAATTGTCACTTCTAATAGAGTGCAGCGGTCCCTTATTAAAATATATGCACGTGATCACTGGATTGCAAGCAGTGCTGCTTTTTTTCTCTTCCTAATTCAGATGTAAAATTTGTGTCAGCAGACAAGGTGAGTGTAAGAAGAGAGAGTGAGATCAAGCATTAACAAGAGAGGGAGAAGAAGTAGTTGGGCGCTTTGTGGTCTCAATAATGACATCAAGTGAACACAGCAGATGTTTGCAAGGGAAGGGGATCTAAAGAAAACAAATCCTAATTCCTGCAGCGTTTTATGTCAACACAGGCACACGAGATATTCATACAAATGCTTTGAAATGGCTAATACACTGAATCTTTACATTATCCCTATATTACAAAATAATCCAGCAAAATCCTGTCAGGCAGCCCCTGTGTTATATGTAGCATAAGCATTTCTAATAGTAAAGCACATACACTGATCACAGCTGAATGACAGAGAGCGAGATGTGTGTGTTTGCCTAGGCACTTCTCATCAATAAGGAATGAAGCAATTAAGCTAATCTCAGACTGAAGGTGCCCTTTCTCCTTTATACCTACCATAACCCTTCATGGAAACCAACAACTGGGCTTCATGGTACAACAGCCTCACCACACAGCAACAGCCATGTCATTTTAGAAATAACCCCAAACTGCTGACCCTAAACAAAAGGAACTCATTATAGTGCTGATTAATGAATAAGAGAGCTGACTCACAGCAGCCATCTTGACATGGCGCACTGCAGGAAAGGCACAGGTGTAATTAATAACATCAATGATGGCTGCATCTGATTAGGTGTGTCTGATATTGTGTGGCTGCTGGCTTACTGGGGCACTTAATGGATCCGGACCACTGTTAGTCTTATTGTTTACACGTGCGCTTCTCCTGCTGTGACAACTCAGGATGTCGAACATTTTCAGCAGACACTTAAATAGCTTGTTTTGTATTTAGTGGATAAATCATTTACATCATTTATCAAGCGAACGCTGCAAGTTCTGGCGTCTCAAGATTTTTTTGTTTTACTCTGATCTGCGTAGGTCACTGTTTGCTAGACACACTTGTCTCACAAAGCTAAAGTAATAGTAAAGTAATGAATGAGAGATGAATGCATTTCATCGCCTAATGAATCAAATAATAAGCTTTGCCATTATACACACCATGAAGTCAGGGCTCGTTCTATTTGGAGAGATCACAGTTATATTGTAATTTTTATATTTGTTTACTAAGTTTGTTTTTATTCACTTTCAAGTTCTTTTATATGTTATATAGCTATTATTAGACAGAATTATTGTAATATGCATTGTGTCGTACATCTCTCTTTTCTGGCCGACCGTGCAATGCTGTGGAATCACTTTCTAATTTGTTGACCCTTTCTTATGCCTTTGCAGTGGATCTGCTTTGGATTTTCTACTACAGGTGACAAAATCCTGGACTTAAGGAGACTTAAGCAGACAAATTCTCCTAAGCCTATAGAGAGCCTGTGTATTTTTGACCCTGACACTGCAAATGTCCTCACAGGTTTTTCACTGTAAAAACTAACAGACACTCCGTGGTAAAAGTAGAAAAGCATTCCCATGAACAAAATATCACACCATCTCCCTCCCAGGGTGATAGTGACCTGACTAAACCTGTTCAACTATCCCCACAACCTTCGCTCGACACACAGATTCCACCTCCTACAAACTGAATGGACACACCACGGTGAAATACATCCAGTCTGTCACATAGGACTACTTTTAAACATAATGTCAGTCCACTGCGAGCATGATATTTTACTGCTAAATGGTAAGGCCAGCCCAAATAGTTGATAATCTCAGGATACAAAGACTCTCATTTCCTCCTTCCCCAGCTCTCTCCATTGTGAGCCCTGTGCTGAACCTCATTTGAATGTGGGATAAATTGTGTCTTTCTGGCTGGAACCAGGTGAGTCTACACCAGCAGCAACACTAGACTTCCTCTAACCTTTAGGTGAGGAAACACCTCTCTCAGTAATGACTGCTTCACCATAGCCAGGCTTAAACTTCATCTTCTACCATAGTACCAAAGCATGCAACTGAGTGTATGTATGTGTGTGTGACTGAAGCTCAGCACAAAGTACTTGGGCACTGTTATAAGGTCTGACTGCAGGTCACAAAATCTGGGACTCTTGCAAGACTTTGAGCTAAACAGACAAGCTCTCATAAGCCTGTATAGATGCTCTGTGCTCTCTGCCTTTCCTTTTTTTTGTCTCCCCCATTACCCCCCTCATTGCCCAAGCTCTCTCCCTTTTTCCTCCACTCACACTTTCTCAAAGGTGCTTCCCTAAACCCCAGAGAGAGAGGGAGGAGCCTGGGATGGTGAGGACGCGCTGGTAATCCGTGCAGTGACCCAGGTCAATTCAATTATCCTGTTTTCTTTCGCTGCGCGACGTGTGTGCCCATTTTACAGCCAACTCCCTTAATGCGCCCAGGATTAGCTTCTCTTACTTTTAATGATCTACCTATCGACGCCTTGGGCCCCACAGCGCACACACAGACACACAAACACACAAACATAGGCAAGTGTTTTTATGTATTAGTTTATGTGTAAAATAATTCACTAAACAATTCTGTAAGACTCAGGATCAAGAGAGGCTTTCACAAAATGAATCTTCAGTGTGTTTTTGTATGCATTTGCTTGTTTATGTGGGAGTGTGTGTTCCATAAAATGCAGGAAAAAGAGGAATGTAATAACCATTTGCATTTACCCAGGCTTCACCTGACACCTCCAAGATTTGAGATCATCATTTTAGGCCCAACACGCTAAGTGTAGAAGCTCGCTAATGTCAACCCCGGAGGAGGAAAAGAGGTCGTTTATACTAGCAAACTGTGTGGATGGCAGACATGCACTGAAATATCCACACAGAATTCAACAAAGAGTTTGATCAGTTTCACAGAACTACTGCTGCTCTACTGGTTAGAAGGTGTACTTTAATCTGTCCAACAAATCAACAATATTTGGACCTGAAAACACAGGGTGTACTTTATTTGTGGCTGCTGATGACCCAAATCTACTGTTTTGTTACAGTTTTGTCTATACATGTATTACTTAAAAATATGCAGGGGCACTTTCCACTTAAGTCTGGAGACAGTAAACAGTATAAGAAGTGGGTTTGGCAGCCTTACCCGGGATGTCCTGTCCACTGTAGTTCCATCCAGCTACAGCCAGCATGGAGGGCAGAGGAGATCCAGGTCTACTGTCCCTGTCTCTCTCCCTGTCCCGCTCTCTGTCCCAGTTCCTCTCAGCCTGCTGGGTAATATGTCTGACCGTGTCCTTGTTCTTCCTGTTCTTCCTTCGCCCTGACCCTGACATTGGTGGCCAGGGTCCCTCTCCACCTCCTCCAGCAGTGGCCCCCAGCCCTTGCTCTCCCTGGCTCTGAGCTGCCCCCCTGAGAGTGTCCCGGGGATGAGAGGAGGAGGCGGGGGACACCTGTTCCTCTTTGACAGTGACAGGCCTGTAGTCATGCGGCCAGGCAGGTTGGGAGTCGTGCAAAGCTTCCTCCTGGCTCTCATGGCTCTTGGGGGGGTCTTGGTCCTCCTTGCCATACGTGCTGCCTCCCTCATGGCAGCGGGCGAGGGCCGAGTCCCCAGAAGAGTTGGCCGGGCTGGTGCGGCGAGCCAGCCAAGGAGAGGTGCTGCGACCAGACATGATAGAGGCCAGGGCTTCAGAAGCCATGCCTACTATCCCTCCCCCTCCTCCTCCTAAACCTGCTCCTCCTGCAACACCCCCTGCTCCCGCTAGAGCAACTCCTCCTCCACCTCCACCACCAATGCCAGCAGCCGCAACAGCTCCCATTTCAAAGTCAGCCAGCTCATCAGCCATTTCAGAGCGGATGCTGATGTCCAGCGCAGCCTTGATGAAGCTGTGGCAGGCCTGGACAATGTCTGTCATCTGCAGGTAGCTGGCAGCTGACATGACCTCAATCACGTTCTTACTGGTGAGAGCAAGGTGTGCAGAGTACATGAAGTCCAGGATGGCTTTGAAGCCTGTCGCCGTGACGATGTCCAGGTGAGTGACAGTGGTCTGGTGGTGAGGTTCTGCCCCTTTTTTAACCTGAAGGGAGAAGAGAAGGAGTATTCACAGCAGCATTGTCTTGTTTATTTAGACTATTTATGGCATTGCTTATGGCATCAACACACAAAAAATTAAATAAGAGAGAAAAACAGGTAGATGACCAAATATCCTGCCCTGATTCCCCCAGTGTAGCAGTCCCTTACCTGGCAGTAAAGAGTCTTGAAGTAGCGTGAGGAGCCCAGGAGGACGTTCTTATGGGCCTTGAAGATCTTTCCATCCACAATGACACAGGCGTCGCAGAGGATGCCGTGCTGCCTCTGTTCATTGAGCTCTCTGAGGAGCTGACGGTAGTGAGATGAGATCTCCATGTCCTCCTTCCTGTTGTTCATCTGTGTAGCTGAACAAAACCTCTCCTCCAAATGTCTGCTGGGAAATGCAAAAAGAATGACATGAAATCAAAAGGGCACATCAAACTATTTTAAGTATACTGAACAACTGAATGTACAGGAGCAGAAAGATACCGGAGTAATGAAATCTAGGAAAAATAGCATGAGTTCAGGCAACTTATTCAGACATTTCTCCTTTAAGTTCCTACATAAACATGGACATAGCCACAGTATTATACCAACCCCTTTCTTAAAACAATGGTTTCATTTGAATGTGTGTGTGTACATTCAATAAGCAAATGTAGCTGCAACACTTCTTTAAAGACAAGCTGGAGTAAGAATATCTCAGTAATGACTGCAACATAAAAACAATGACATCAATAGAAACCACATCTCATCTGCAGCAGTTTGATGTCTAAAAACAGCCCAATAACAAATAGTCTAAAACCTGTGTTTAAACCATGTCTGACAGGTTCATGTGTGTGTGTGTGGGTGTGGGTGTGTGTGACAGAGTGTGTCTACGCTCATTAAAAATGTCAGTTAAAAAGCATAGCACTTTATCAAAACAGCTGAGAGGGAGAAAAACACCTCATTTAGTACAGACCACTTAAATTTATCAATAAACACTGCCTCATTTTCTTAATTTTTTTTCATCTCATCGCAAGTGTGACTATTGTCTAGATGAGACAAAAATTCACTCTGGACCTTTCACCTCAGTGTTTCTAATCTCGCATAGTTCAGTCGAGGTTGTGCGCACAAAGTTTTTCTGAAAACTACAGAGAACAGACCCGTAATGGCCATTTGTCAAGCTGCCGAATGTAGGTCCCACTTTCACTATTCACTGGCAGAATCCACTGATGTATAGTGATGTTACAGGGACAATGGTGTATTGTTGCTCTTGCAAAATAAAAGCATGAGAAAGATTTGAAATTTTACAATCCATTAGTCTATAAAGCATCTTTACTTTTGACCTCACAAATATTGAACTAAAATATAAGTGGATTTTGACTTGAGTGTAGATAAACCATTACTGCCTGTATTTTTTTTTTTTTTTTTTTTGTACAGGTTAAATAACATTTTGAGTTCACACAAGACAGAAGGGATACAAGTGAAGGCCACAGCTAAAGGAAGGCAGATGGTGACAAAGGGAGATGTGAACATTGCTCAACTATTCAACTTGAGAGAAAGCCCACATATGCCCTAGCAAAGACAAACCTACTAAAACACACAAAAAGAAGAAACAGAAGATGAACACACACACAAAGTCAGGCAGTGCATTAGCCAAAGCATTAGCAGCCGCCGCTCCTGTTCTTGTCTCGGTTAGGGCTAAATCGTGGGGACGCAGGGTGTTACCAAACACAGCAGTGATTTGTTTTGGGAACGCCACGGCTGTCAGCTCTCATGGGCCATTCCGAGAGATGACAGCTCGGGTTGGCCAAGGTGACAGCAGCGTTTGCTCGGGGGCCGGCACACTTCAGGTCATGTTTAGCAAAGCTCTGCTCAACCTGATGGCTTGTAAGATCAGATAAATCCACTTGGACAAACACACCTCCTATGAATGGCAGTGGACGAGTGGATGGAGTGATGTGACAACTGCTAAAGGCTCTCTTGTTCAAGAAAAAAAAAAAGCATCCCACATCTGATCAATGCACGGCTGACTCAGAACCTTTCACTTTGACCATGCTTCCTTTAAGTCATTGAAAGAATTGTGAGGAGGCAGGAACGTTTTGATGCAAAGGTTTTTATCCTCTAGCTCATTTATTTCTTAATACAAAAAAATGTATTGGCAGTATAACTTTGAGATAATCTATCTTTCTTGTCTGTGTTGCCCTGATGAAGTATTGAGAGTCTTCACCACTCACCTTTAGAGGCAAAACGAGCGGTTTTAAAGACGCAGTAACTCCCTTTCCTTCTTTCTCTGCTCTTCTGCTCTCAGGGCCACTGGCATATTCAATTGTGTAGGCCAATCTATAAGATAGGTCCCCCTCTCTGAGGCACATAAAATAAAGTTATTTATTCACTGATAAATACCTCAATACCCTGTTATTTTTCATTTCTTCGAGCCAATGTGAATGGTGGAATACAGGGTCACTGTACAGCACACACTGGTCAGCAGTGACCATGCACTGTAGCACAGAGGGAGCAGTGAAGGAAAGCCAGATATATCAAATCAGCAGCTGGTATAAGACTGCCGTGGCTCGAGTGTAGCATTCATGCATCTCCAACTCTCCATTTCCATCTGTTACCATTTTCAAGTTCCTAGTATCAGTGAGGAACACCACTTACAAGCACACAAGCAAATGAGCAACATGCTAATGTCAGCTACAGCGATGCATTAAAGGGTCGTATTACAAAAAACAACTTTGTAAGACATCACAAATTCCAACAGGCATTTCTCACTTTTCTTTCACCTTTCATAGACAAAATGATTAATCTGTATACATTTCCAGATTAATCAAATAATCAGTGATGAAAATAATTACTTGCAGTCCTAGCAGAAGTCCATTCACCTCGAGTTTAATGGGGTGGAAGCAGAAATATCGGACATATATCTCAGACGTATTTGCATGGATACCCACTAATAGAAGTGAGAAAATGTTGTATTGTAATTTAGGTGCCCTTAATTTAATGTAGTTTTATAAACCCTCAAAAATTTAATACCATCTATAAGCATATAACCCAGTGTGTGTGAATAAAGTCTGGTAACTGGGACTAAAGTTCATCAGGGCAACTTTCCATTCTGCGTGGTAAAGCACATCCAAAGCACTAATGATAATGTCAGTGTGGTGCCGCGCTCTGATACAGGAGGCTGTGTTTCTGAGTGAGTACTAAAGTTTTTTAACCAAGTGTTAGTTTGTGCGTATGTGATGTGAACGTGTGGCTAGGACTGCACCTAAATACATGTTAAATGGTGCCTCAAATTAAAAAACAATGCTCAGTGGAGGGTTAAACAACAACAACAACAGGCTGATAGAAACAAAGAGGGAGAGGTCTAATCAGATTTATTGCTTCAACAGACATTCTGAGTTAGTAGTTAGGCAGAGAAGAGGAACTTTAAAGGACTGTGCTTTGACCTCTAAACTTTGTTTGCCTAGCTAAATATCATCGTGTCTGATTCCCTCCAATCAAAGACCCCATTTCCATAGGAACCAATCCCAGTGCTACCCCGACTGCAGTACAGAAACAGCAATTCTCCAGTGTTCACCCTGGCTTTTCACTCCTTCCAAGAGCTTCTCCATCTTATCCCAGGAGCTTAGACCATCAGCAGCACCAAAACCCACTCCCTCTATCATGTGAGTACAGCCTTGATTTACAGCACACCTTTTTTTTCCCAAATATACACTTAGGAAAGTAAGGTAAAATGAGCTTGTCACACAATCAACTAAAGAAAGAAGGCAGAGACATTTGTGTCTCACCCAAAGCATTAGCAGTCTCACCAAGGCTGAAGAAACTAAAGCCTGCTTTCAGGATGTCACAGAACAGAAAAAAAAAGCTTTTCATTCCAAAATGAAATAAAAAAAAAAAAAAAAAGCATAGAAGAAGACATCAAAAGGCAGGCTGACAGTCTGTGAGCACTTATTTGTGGTCAGAGATGATAGTTTCAGTAAAGCATGCCAACGGAGCTCCGAGTCCGTCGCCCTTCTGAGGCCAAATTAAAAGTGACCGTCCCCCTTAACCCACGCTCCATGGTACCAAACGCACACAATCCAGAGCCGTGTTCCCCTCAAAACACACCCACACCCAGCCCCTGCCCCTAAATACACAGCCACGTGCAAGAATTAAAAAAAAAAAAAGCATGGTCACATCTCAGCAGAGCCGTCATGGCATCACACCCTGTTTGTCCCGGTCGCATCATAGAAAAGTCACTTTAGGCCCCAGACAGATGAGATGAGACGTGTGATGGAGTGAGAGACCGGGGCTCTCTCCTTCTTGTCTTTCTCCTAATGCAGCCTGTCCCTTCAAGCCTCTTTTCTGCCACCTTGACCGCACAGGGCCGAGAAGAGACGGGTGTAAGGTCCTTCCGGATCAAAAGGCAGACAGATACTTTCTTTGTGCTGGGTTTAACAGCTTTCACACTGGGCCTATGTTGTGATTTCACAAGGTATTCAGACATCTCACTGGATGAAGATGTACATGTGAAACATTCGCACAGGGTGATAATACATGATTACACAACATATTTTAGCGGCTAAAATTCACATGGAGCACACTCTCTTTGGCAAAACCTGTCTGTTGATTCATTCCTTGTTAACATTCTTGCAAGGTACAAGGTCCTGCAGGGTCCTTCATGGGCATGTCAGCACTACCCGAGCAGATTCATATACTTGCTGTTATATTTTCTGAATTAAGGGATTTCCAATTGGACAGGCAAAATTATCATTTAGTGGCCAGTGTGCTGCTTGCAAATCTGCCGGTCTCAACGAATCATTCTATATTCAAACTGTAGCTCTCTGGACAACAGATGCAGCCTAACAATTCTGCTCATTATTATTTGATAAAATGACGGCTAGACGAGCACGTGGGTGAGTGAACAAGGAGTTCACACAGCCTTCATATGAGTGGTAAAATAAATAAATAAATAAAGCTGATACATAAAAAGTGATAATGACTGACAGTTTTTTTTTTTTTTTTTAACTTTTTTAAATTGCAGCCAAATTGTTTCTGCTAATGTGCATGTGCTACAAAAAAAAACAAAAAAAACAAAAAAAAAACGAACATGTAGGTGCATTTAAGATTAATGATACCATTTTTTTTGTCTTTGCATATCTATACTAATGCATTTTTCATATTAGCATATCTCATATTAGGGGAGACTTGCAGTGACAAACCCACAGATAATAAACAAACACCGTTGGAAGAGGTCACTACAGTATCAAATGTAGTTTTTCTCAATGCTACAGATGTTTCAGCATCTTTCTGCTTGTTTTGGGTTTATGGCCCATAGCTTTACTTGTTTTGATTGTATTTTTCTCATCAGTACTGTTTCCAGCAGCAGGTTTGAATAAGTTTTAAGAGCAATAATAAAGAGAATGACTTAAT